TTTTCTGAAGAAGGGTCTAGGCCCGAAACGTCAGCTTTCCTGCTCCTCTGATGCTGCTTGGCCTGCTGTGTTCATCCAGCTCTACACCTTATCTTGTTTATTCAAGAGTCAGTTTGTTTTAACTTGGTGCTGTAAATAGTGTGAGAAGCTCTACCATAATGGGTGTGCTATTGTCTTGTCTTGCAGTTCGTTCTTTTGGGACAGAGGATAGGCCTACGGACAGACCAATACCACCTCGTGATGAAGTGTTTGAGTACATCATCTTCCGGGGCAGTGATATCAAAGATCTCACAGTGTGTGAGCCACCAAAGCCTCAGTGTTCTCTGCCTCAGGATCCTGCTATTGTTCAGGTGAGTTGAGATGATCTGTGGGGAAGATGGCAGCTGCTGTGTTGGAGGTTGAAATCACTGATCTCTGGTGAGCTGGGGCTGGTGAGTGATTTACTGTTGTCTGGGATTTCTGTTTCCAATGGCTGTCTAGTTTCCCCCACTGAAAAAAATGTTTGCAGTCAACTGAGTACAAGAATGGGCTGGCTGTGATGCTGTTTTGATCAAACCAGCCTGTCAACCTACTTCTATTAAAGTAAAACAAAGAACTGTGTGAATGCTGGAAATCTGAAAGAAAAACAGAAATTGCTTGCAAAATTCAGCAGGTCTGGTAGCATCTGTGGAGAGAAAGCAATATTAACGTTTTGGGTCCAGTGGCCAACTTGTATTGTTTGGACTGCCCAGAAGAAAATATTGATGGCTGCAACCTAATAATCGTAATGTACCCAGCAAAGGTTCAATGGCTTGAAGTTAGGGATGAATTGGCTCTTGTGGTTTTGGCCTCTTAAGTTGACAGTCAAGTGGCAAGTGATGGCTGTTCCATCACAGCTTGTATAACAGGCAAGCCCTTGTCACAACAGGGGTGCTAACCTGCCCCATTGGGCAGTGTAAGCAATCTTTACTCAAAATCTGCACTGTGCTTTGCTCTGGATCAAAGTTAACTCTTGAGCTTTCCTTGGGTTTTATGGAAAAACTGCACTTGAGTGCTCATATTAGGTGTTAAACATGAGAAATAGGTTGCTCTGACTGTTCTTTCCTACCCTTGAATGCAACAACACCCGTTTTCCCTCCTCCCCTACAACCTCCAAAGTAACAGCAGTTGTTTATGAGAGATAATTTTAAAAAGTTTGGAAAGTCTTTTCAAGACTTTCATATTGTCAGCTAATGTTGTTTGCGTACAAGATGATTGTTATATGTCACTAATAATTTTCAGAAATATATTCGGTGCATAGGTCAAATATGAATTAAGATCCATCACTTAACAGACTGTGTGTCTGTGACCATATATATCCAGTTGTATTTGTGTACATGTTTGGCAGCTTGTGTTCATGCACTCAAGTGTCTAATTTGTGGAGGCAGAAGCTTGGAAAAGTAGATGATTATTCATAAATTAAGGTGGGCAATAAAGACCTACAATTTTTGGCAAAAGTCGTCAGAAAATCGTGGAATCCGTGCAGTGCAAAAAACAGGCCATTCGGCCCAACAGGTCCACACTGCCTCTCCGAAGAGCATCCCACCCTGACTCATTCCCCTAACCCTGTATTTCCCCATGTCTAACCCAAACATCCCTGGACACTACAGGCAATTTAGCATGGCCATTCCACCTAGCCTGCAAATCTTTGGATTGTGGGAGGAACCCAGAGCACCTGGAGGAAACCCACGCAGACAACGGGGAGAATGTGCAAATAGACAGTCACCCGAGGTTGGTATCGAACCTGGGTCCCTGACGCTGTGAGGCACCAGTGCTAACCACTGAGCCACCTTGCCGCGTCCTACAACTTTGACCTTCTCACTGTTTTTGACATTGTGCAGTTGTAGATTTTGAAAATGGTCTGATGTATTTGGGATCGGATATAGCATGTATGTTGAGCTAATCGGCATAGGTCTGAGGTTGAATCTAGTCCTTTCTATTCTCTGGTTTTATTTGATAGGGATGGTACTGCTGTGATTTTAACTTTTCGTGCATCTCTCAAATAGCGTTTGCACAGATCGGGAGCTCACTGGTGCCATCTTGAGGCACCACTGGGTGCAGCATCAATGCAATTCAGGGCTAAAGATTGTCATGTCTTTTTGTTAAATTTTGTGAATTTCTCAAACGTAATAAACCATTTTTAAAGTTTGTACCCTTTAGTGATATTCCTTAAGTTTGTTAAATGCCGTGGATGTTGGTTAAATGCTGTGGACATTCCTTTTAAATACAACTGCATCCCAAGTACGCCAAATAAAAACACCGAGTTCCACATCCTAGGTAACGATATGTCTCCCAAGTTCCTTAATTGATTTATTATTGACTTCTATGAGCCCTAGTTTTGGACTTTCTCACAACATAAACGTTGAGATGTTTTCACTTATGAACTCACCACTTCCCTTAATATCTATTATGTCAACCCTCAGACTTTTTCTTCTATATATATGTTACATGTAGCTTCTAACTGTACCTCCCACTGTTCTTTGTAATCATTATGTGTGGTGACTAATCTTGGCTGAGATTGTAGCAGGTTTACTAACTTAGAAGTAGAAAATAGACGACAGTTCATTTGGTCCATTGTCAAGATAGTCATTAAGAACTCCAAATGGAAATTCAGAAGATACTTCACCCAGTGCTAAGAATGTGGAACTCACTACTATGAAGAACATTTGATGTGAACTGTACAGTTATATTTAAGTGGAAGGTAAGAAGGATTCTGTGGGAGAAATGAATCAATAGATGGTTCTAATGGGAGATTTACATGAGAAATTAAGAGGCAAATTGAAAGGATTGTAAACATTAGCCTAGATTGGTTGGACTTAATGGCCTGTTTCTGTGTCATATATCAAATCGAATCAATCAATACATACGCTTGGGAAAAAAAAACACTTATTCAGTTTAAGATGACAAGGTTTGGAGCTGGATGAACACAGCAGGCCAAGCAGTGTCAGAGAAGCAGGAAAGCTGACGTTTTGGGTCTGGACCCTTCTTCTGAAAATTTTCTGAAGTTGGTAATGTTCCCCAGAACCTGCTGCCCTTCTAGATTGTAGTGGTCATGGGTTTGGAAAGTCCTGTAAAAGGAGATGTGTTGAATTGTTGCAATTCAACTTGTGGATGCTACAAAATATTGTTATTGAGCATTGGTATTGAGGGAGTAAATGATTGTTGATGTGTGCCAGACAAGTAGGCTGCTTTGTCCCAGATAGTGTCCGCTTCTGGAGTTGTTGGTTGTTGGAAGTTTTTTTTTCCCCTTCATCATTCCTTCAGTTAGTGAGTTCTGGCCTCTCTCACCCTCTAATTCTTTTCCAAATTAGTTTAAAACTATGTCCCATGGTTATTGACTATTCAACATTTGTTCATTTGAAGGAGACCAGAAGCCCATCTTCATTTAGTTTTGGATTTAAACAAAATGAAACATTGCAAACACATTATTCCTAACTCTCTAACCCACCACCTTCATCAGGAAGATGTTTTTCATGTGTTCACAGGTCATTGTCCAGATAAGAGCCCCTACCTTAATTACGTTAATCCTTATTTCGTTAACATTATCCCTCTGCCCAGGGAAACTGGTCTTTCCTATCTACCTTATTTAGACATTTTACTATTTTGTACAGCTCTTTGTTTTTTCCAGAACAATGTAAAGCTACTCAATTTTTCTTCATAGCTAAAACTCTTGATGCTTGGCAGCATCTTCTCAAATTTCACTCTTGTTCTGACCAGTGGTTTCATATCTATCTTGTAATACTTGCAGTACTCCAACTGGGGCCTAATTGACGCTAAATTTTTTTTATCAGGAACTTGTATTTCACTCTCCTTTATAGATGCTGCCATACATGCTGAGTTTTTCCCAGCAATTCTTTTTTAATTTCACATCTCTATCATCAGTGTTTTTGTTATAATGTCTTATACAGCTTCAGTAAAACCACCTTACACTGCAGTCTTGACCTCAGCAAATAAGAGGCAATCCTGTATGTCAACCTCCCCTACCTTCAGGGATCTACAAACCTGAACTTCATTGTTCCTCTCTTCCCCTGAACTGCTCCAATTCCTACCATTTAATGTGCATTCCCTTGCCTTGTTTGTCCTCAAATGAATTAATCTACACTTTTTTTCAGATTGAATTAACATTGGTGAGATGTGTAGGAAAGTGACAATCTATTGATACCTTCTTCCAGTCTATATTCTTTTGTATTGTTTGCAAGTTGCCTAATCATCTCCCTTACAGTTAAGCCAGTCATTGCTGTTTACCATGATCACAAGAGACCTAAGATTGAATCTTGTGTCACAATCTTAGTCTCAAATCATTCTTTGTCCATTGCATTTGCTGTCGCCATCTATCACGGAACATTTGGATCCAGCTTACTACTCCTTCTTAGATCCCGTGAGCATTTGACTTTCTGACCAGTTTGCAATGTAGAATGTTGTCAGAGCCTTGCTAAAATCTGTATAGACCTCATTAAACGTGTGGGCTGTCTTTTATTCCCCCCCCACCCACCACTGATTCATAAGTTAGATACAACTGTTCCTTGACAGATTTGTGCTAATTGTCCTTGTTTAATCTGCACCTGTCTAAATGAAATTTTTTTTGTTCTTCAGAACAAAAGCTTCCTCACAGAAAACTACTTGGCCGTGAAATAATTGAACATTTTGGAGAAGGAGAGTGGAGTGTGCAAGCTATAGAATGATTCCTCAGCACTCCATGGCTATAATACTGCATTTTTTTGTTTCTTTGCCTTCACAGTCTTCACTTGGCTCCTCCTCAAGCTCTTCTTTCCAATCTGTGGGTTCCTATCCACCATTCAGCAGAATGCCAGCGTATAGCCAGTTTGGGCCAAGCCCACTAGTGACGCAGCAGTACAATGCGGTTGGTGTTGGTAAGTTTTAATTTGTAGCAAGTTAGTAAATAAAAATGTCATCCTCATTCGAAATGATTCCTCCCACTGCTGCTGCTTCCTTCCGTGTGGCACAAGGGAAATTCTGCATTGTCAAGGCCGTTCTCCTTTTTCAAACCTTAGGCCAAGTATGTCCCCTTGGGTAGATCTAAAAGATCCATTGACATTATTTGAAGAGCAGATATGTTCTGGTGTTATCTCTTGGTTGGCACCATCAAAAACTGATCGTGTATTTTGTTTTTGTCAGGGGGCTATTGTGTACGGATATTCTGAAGTGACCACATTTAAGATTAAAAAATAAGATTAATTATTTTTTAAGTCACCTCAGCGTGTTATATAAATGCCTATGCAATCATTTTTACCAGCAGTATTGTGTCTGATGCCAATGAACAGGTCCAAGTATATGTCGGGTGAAAACTTACTTTGTTTTCCATATATTGTTACTGTGAAGGAATGGCCACAGTTATCCTTCACTTGACAACAATCCCATTTACGTTCTTGGAGTTGTGCAGTGAATTGAGTTGAGGTATATTAGCAATTGTTGAGAGTGAAGTTTGGAAAATGGGATTCATTGATTTTATGATGTGTTAACTGTTGAAGATTTGTAGTTTTCCCTCAGAACAGGAAATCATTTTGTTTGTACAGGCCAGATAGTGCAATAAGCATTTATCTGTTCATTCTCTTATCCTTCTAAAGGATGTGGCAAGGTCCGTATTTGTTGCTCATCTAGAATTACTCTTGAACTGAATGGCTTGCTAGGCCATTGTGGAGGGTAGTTAAATATCACCCATATGCAACCCAGACCAGTAAGGATGACCAATTTCCATCCCTAAAGGAAATTAATGAGTTAGTTGAGTTTTTACAGCATGTTCATTTCATGGCACCATTAGTGGAACTAACTTTCAATTTCACATTTTTCTTAGTTGAATATGAAGTTCAGCTGTCACAGTGAGATTCAGACCTTATGCCCTATTAGCCTGGGCCTCTGGATTAGTAAATGAGTAATATTATCCCCATTCTACCTTTTTTTTTCCCCAAATTCATTTCCAATCCAACCCAAACAAAACAAATGAATTAAAGACCAAATAATTAACTGGAAGAGTTAATATATTTTTGTGGCTTAGTACCACCTCTGTAATGCATGTGATGCATGCCCATTCAAGACATGCTTATTATCTTCAGCATTATGCAGGAAGGAGTCCCAGTCTTGCAGTGTTTTAAGGGTTCTCCATTTTTTTTGAACTGCTGTAAAATATGAATAGTGGTGACAGTGAGGCTACTGTCCAGGGATTCTTGATCCCTTGGCTTCAGTTGCAGACTTTGAACACTAATTCAGCAATTATTCCAATGAGATGGCCTTCTTTCTAATCTGGAATTATTGGTGGCTGCTGATTAATAAACATCCAACTTGTGAATTACTTAGGACTGAAATCCCACATTAAAAGTATTTATTTTAAAGATCCAACATGTAAACATTCATTCATACTTATGGCTATTTTGTGCTGTGTTGAGTTCCAACTTGTATACAAATCGACTTAGGACTGTACTCAGGAATGGAACTTGGGGACTGCCTGTATGTGAGTAGTTATCATAGGAGTTATCGGATGAAATTGCAAAGCCATCTGCTCTGCAACTTCTTGACTGTAATCCACTCTATTTGTTAAGGCAGATAATCTCACATCTTGAGTGGAATTTGAGGGGACTTGAATGGTGTCAGGTGAAAACCCAACTGGACTTGACAGTGATGTCTTCACATTTGAATAGCTGACTGAATTCATCATTTCAGCTCAGGCCTAAACGTTTAAAATTCATTATTGACACACAGAGAGTGTGTTCCCCTATGTTGCAGCCATATGACCTCGTCAATTCTCCAGTGTACTTTTTGAAACGTTCCCATGTAGGACTTGAGTTTCAAAGGCAATCTTTATGACGTAGAGGTTACTTGGCTGATCAAATCCATGTACCTATAAAGAAATCCAGTTAGTCTCATTCCTTTTGGGATTACTCTTCTCTGCTTCCACCACCATCTGGATGCAGAGAATCCCAAGGTCATTACCACTCATTTTTTCACTGCATCAGTGTCCAACATCTTGAACTTGTGGGTTCTTTTGTGCTGCGTCATCGAGTAATGGGAACAGTTTTTATTCCTCTGTAATAATGTGTCAAATGTCCCTCCAGTTCCTTCGCCTCAAGGCAAACAGACTGATGTACAAAACTAACTGTTGCTAAAATCTACCGTCCCTGGAAGCATCCTGGTCAATTTCCACGTAACCTCTCAAAGAATGCCACCATTCTTCAAGTGTGATAACCTATTTATGGCCTAACCAGAGCTTTGTTCAGGTCCAATATAAGTTCCCAGCTTTTGTACTCTCTGCCTCTGTTTATGAAGCTGAGGACCTCCAATGTTTGGCTAACTACAAACTGTGTCCTGCCACCTTCAAAGAACAGTGTACACTGTAGAACTGTATCAGTTAAGTTGATACTGTCTATCCCTTATGCCAAGATTCAACACCTCCTGCTCCACATATAAAGTTCCATCTTTTGCTTATCTTCCAATTCTGCTAATCTATCTTTGTTCTGTTATAGTCAATGAATGTCATCCTTAAACCTCCAGATTTGATACCATCAACAAATTTTGAATTTTGTCCTAGATTCCACAATCCATGAAGTAGAAACATATTTGATATGTAAAAAATAGCGACTAGACTGGAATTGAAGCAATATCTATATAGCTAGTTTAAAACTTAGATTTAGGAGTTGGGCAGAACTTGGCCAAGATATTGGAGCTTACTTCAATGCTTTGTGATTGCTGACTGGAGTTTGTCACTACAGATTATCCCATTCTTCTATGAGATGCTGCAGAACTCACCTCTGCTATTTGTTGTCAGCAGACAGATCTCATAGCAGCTACCAGCTGTCGAACTCAAAACAAGAATCTAAATTAGAATGTACATCAAGAAGATTTAAGGATTAAATCTCTCATCTGCACAATTAATAAATTGTAAATGAAAAGCAGAATACTGTGTGTGTTGGCAGCCTGAAATATAAACAGGAAATGCTGGGAATAAGGTTTGTAGCAGCCTCTGTAGAGAGAACATAATGATTGTTGAACTTTGGATCCTGATAATGTTAGATCCTCATCTAATTATCAATACCAGGGTTAATTCTGTTTTGTTTTTTCGTACTTTTTTTAGCCCATGATATTTACGCAGATTATTTATTTTCAACCAATCATTGAATGTTTGACATTACCATTTTTTCCAGAGGATAATTATAATAATGGTAACTGGAGAGTTTCAGATATGTTGTTCTTGGGTCTTTCATTTTCTGTAGTGACGGTCAGGGTGATGGTGTCATTGGCCCTCAGTTATGTAAAACTAAATCTGCTTTGAAATGACAACACGAGTTAAACCTAACTATTTTGTTTCCATTTCTTTTCCCTCTTCACTGTTTCGTTGATGTGATAACCCTTGAAGTTTAATTAAGTGGTTGTTGTTCATATTGAAACCAAAGTAGTGAATACTATCAAGCCCCCTTCGTCTTTGAGGGCATTACTGTTGAAAACAATCCATTTGCAGGTGTAAATCTACATTTGCAGTCATTTGTAAAAGTATCTGGCTAAGTTGTTTGTTCCTCACCTTCCCCCAAACCACCAGAGAGACATTATAGCTCTGGCTGAAATTGACCAACGTTGGAATTGAAGCGATGATGCTTCATGTGTGTGGACCAATAAGACTGTCCTAATCATAGGGTCTGGCAAATCCAGAGGTATCAACCATAGCAATCGTCCACTCATTTGAGTAGTAATTTCTATTTTGGATAAGTACATGAATAGGAAAGGTTTGGAGGGATATGGGCCAGGAGCAGGCAGGTGGGACTAGTTTAGTTTGGGATTATGTTCGGCATGGACTGGTTGGACCGAAGGGTCTGTTTCTGTGCTCTGACTCTACGAACAAGGCTGTTTCACACACCTCCTAACTTGGTTACGTGAGTTTAGAACTGTCTTTGATCTCCAGTTCTTACCCACCTTCTCAGGGTGAATAGTTGTGCAGAGGTTGCCATATTCTCTTTGGAAATGACCAGTGGGATGGATTCTACATTGAGCAGGGGCAAAATAACTTGGTTATATAATCGAAAAACCACCTTCTACAGTACCATCTGTCAAGGAAGGTGATCTGAATATTTTCTATAACTGATGTGGCAAACAGCATTTGCATTTTGATGCACCTGTTCAGAATTTGTTCTTCCTGAAATTCCATAGTATCTAGGAAGTTATTATTATTGAAGGAATTGAGACACCTAACTTAAAATCTTCATTCATAAATAAAGCAGCCTCTGCACCCCATATTTTGGCCCAGTTCACCTTGGCATTTTCAAAGGAGTTTGAAACTTGTCATTTTGATGTAGATGAGTGATCATAGATTGTTAGACTTTTTATTTGCCTGTGTAACAGCAAGCGAGAAGTGAAGTTTGGTCTGTGAAACTCACCATCCCCAAATCTCTTTAAAGCCCTGTTTTTGTAATTTTCCCGGCTAATAATACAAATATAACCTTCAGACTGTGAGAAGTATTTCAGTTCAAAGCTTCAAAGCATGGATACGATATCATTGTTTTGTGTCTGATAGTTGAGAGTTCGTAATCCTTGAATCTAGATTTTACCTTTGCAAATGGAAGTTTTAGAGCTTAACAAATAATTCTTAAGAAAGCTTGTCTTGTCAAGTGGAGGAGGGGTGTTTTGCTTTTTATTGACTGTATTAATGGATTCTGATGTGGCAGTGATGGCAGGATCTTTGTAATGTTTTATCTTTTTTTGAATTCTTCCCCTTGTTTTTGTTACTGGATACGAACAGGAGGTCCCTCGTCATCTTTCAACAGCAACAAAACCAGCTTCGCATCACTTACACAGACCAGCTCACTGGCTTCGACCGCCAAACCCGATACAGGTTCACTGAAATTGCAGTTAGCTTTTCAGGGTAAAGTCTTTAACATATTGAAATTAAAAGAAAGTAACTGTAAAATTATGCGATGAAAGTATCCATTGAAGAGTTGAGAGAAAGGGCATCTATCAAAGTTGCTTTATATTTCCAACTCTGCAGTCTCCCCTGCAGTATCTGAAATGAGCATTATGAAAATGCACCAAGGCCCTTTGAAGTGATCAGTATAAACTGACCACCTTTCACACGTGTATGCTTTTTCTTGCTGGGGTTTTCAAGGGCTGAGTTTTCTTAATTATTTTGCCCAATGTGGTTCATGACAAAGTCTTCAGCCACATCTCTCAATAATGATCTTGGTATTCACCCTAATGTCACCTGCATCTATTACAGGGATGATTGGCTTGAAATTGGTAATGGGAATCCTGCTTTTACTTGCTTTTCTCCTGCCTAACTGAAGACCCCAAGTGTTAATTGAAATCTCTGTTCGGAATTAGCTAGCTCAGTATAAAATGCAGGAGTAAATTTGAGAGCTTTTAGGTTTGTAAAGCCTAAGTATTGTTTGAAACCAGCACACTTAACTGTCTGATACATTCCAAGAAGCATTATGTCTATTTTTTAATGTATAGCAAGTTAATCTTTTGCAGGTGGATGAGATGGATTGTCCCCTGAGATTGCAAATGCAGTTGAGTTTCCATAACTGTAGTTAACTGTACCATTGTTAAACTTCTCCAGCTTTTAATTTTGTCAGGTAGTTCATAAGATCAACTAACAATGGGACTTGAGCAGTTAGAACAAATCGTAGTGTAAAGTCCCACACTGTGCATAATGACTTATCCCATCTAAAACAGGACTTGTGCAGAGTGTTATGATCATGTTGACTAGGTGCAGGGGTGTGATCTCATGAAAAAGCCAGAATTTAAGACTGCGATAAGGGAGCAAGGGAGATGTTTAGTTTTGTTGCACGAGAGGCTTTAGAAATGGAAATTTCCTGCAATGAATAATGTTTGATCTGAGGCAGTGTTCCTGGCTTCCGGCTTACTATCCTGTACTTTTGAAATGAAAAATGCAATTCTTTATTCTTAATTAGGTTGGCTTTTGGAATAAAGCAAAACCTAATTCTTCTATGTATCCTCCACCTTTCAAGTCTACTGCCTTCAAAAAAAAAATCCACTTTTGATACATCCCATTTTGCAATCTACCCTCCTAGCCCAAGCCACACTTTGTTCAAATTCTCCAGTATCTGGACTCCCAGATTCATGCCAATTTTTCTTCATGTCTGAACTTCCCCACTCTTGGCTTCTGACCTGCTGCAGCATTGAAACTGTGCTCATGAAAGCCACAATGGCATCTTATGTGACACTGATCCTAATAAACAATCTCTCCTCTCTCCTCTTCCTCCTCTACTTATCTGCAGTTTTTGACAGAGTTGGTCATACCACTCCTTCTGTATCACTTCTGTGTAGTCCCACAGCCACCGTTTTAAAATTGTAACCACCAGACCCCAAAACCTTTTGGGTGACAGTTTTTGAATTGTTCCCTTCTGTTAACCACGATGAAAGTAGTACTGTATGATGAATATATTGTATGCAGAGGGAAAGGAGGAATGGGAGTTCTTGGACTGAGAAGCGAGAACCTGTTTCAGACAGTTCATATGTTTCTGAGACTCGCTCCTCATGGACATTGGCTGCAGCTTGGAAAACTGATGTTAACTTCTCAGATCTGTGTTCAAGTGGTGAAGCCTTTAAGGTGAATGAAACTTGTATTTATAGATTTGGAAATTGTCATTCTGGAACCTTGCAGACTCAGCCTCTTGTTAGCTATCAACTGTCTTAGCTACAAATGTTTGCAGTGTACCACTTGTGTGTGTCTGGCTATCTGTAATGTAGCTTTTGCTGCATTCTTTTACAGGCCGATCAAGCCCAAAACTGGATTCAATGAGGAAAAGTCCAACAATGGAACAAGCAGTGCAGACAAATACTTCTCAGGCCCCCGTGGGCAGGAGGAGTCCTGTGTTAGCCAGACCTCTGCCGTCCGTTCACCATCACAAACCAACAGATTCTCATGATGCAAGAAAAGGTAAGAATTGAGTTCATGTCCAATAGATAGTTGCAGTCTAAACCAAACAAACTGGTCCAAATGCTTAGTCATTGCCTGTGTTTATGCTCCTCCGCTTTATCTGTTTGAAATGTGCAAAAATTTGGTACACTGCTGCTGTATAACAGTACTATCTACAGTAGAGATCAAGTGAAGGTTCATCGGCTGTGAAATGATTCTATTCTGTTCTAAATGAATAGAGTCGTGCACTTTCACCTTGTCAGCAGAAGTGTGCAATTAACAAGTGCATTGGTTTCTTTTTGTTTCAATTTGCTCATGGGATGTGGGTGTCACTGGCTGAGCCAACATTTATTGCCCATCTCTAGTTGACACTTGAACTGACTGGCTTGCTGGGGCCATTTCAGATGGCAGTCACAAGACAAACACGTTGTTATGTGTGTGGAGCTACACGTAGACCAGGCCAGGTAAGAATAACCTTGAAGGACATGGTTGAAACTAGGAGTTTTTATGATAATTGACGATGGTTGCATGTTTTATGTAGTGGCTAGTTTTAAATTTCAGATATCATTGATTCAGATTTTTTCATCTGTCATGGTGAGAGTCAAGCACTTGTCTCCAGACCATTAGCATGGGTAACTGGATAATAAATCCAGTGACAATACAACTGTATTGCCACCTCCCCTGTGTCCTTTTATTTTTGGCTAGTGATAAATCCTCAGCAGTAAACTAGGCTAAGTCATAGTTCCCAGTCAGTTGTGTAGTTTTACATTTATGTTATGAATTTTATCCTCTTTCCTACAGGCTAACACACACTTTAGATTAGACAATTTTAAGAAGCATTCAAAGATATGAGAGGAATCGTGGTCCAATTTGAAGACAGCAGCTTTAAGTTACTGATCCTTGAACAAATATAAGTACAATTGTGAAGGGTTGTTTTGGCTTCTATGGATTTAAAATTGAGACTTTTTGTGTTTCAGTGACAATGGCATATGACATAAGGATTACATAATGCCCTGCAAAGAATCAGAGAAAGCATCTTAAATTGCTTTGGATCTTTGATATATAAATATGAACCTATTGAATCTTCATTTGTTATCCAGTGTTGAGAACTTACCAAGATTGAAGTTCATATTTTGTGAGATCAGTACATTGACCATCTTTTGATTTCTGTCTAATAATTAGATGAGATAACATAGCTTTGGATGCAGAAGATATGAATTGGTTTGATCTTAGAACATAGAACAGTACAGGCCCTTCGGCCCTCGATGTTGTACTAAACTTTTACCTTAAACCTAAGGTCTATCTAACCTCCACCCCTATCTAATAGCAGCTTAAGTGCCCCTAATGAGGCCGATTCCACTACCCATTCCGGCAATGCATTCCACGCCCCGATCACTCTCTGAGTAAAGAACCGACCTCTGACGTCTGCCCTATATTTACCTCCACTCGCTTTAAAACTATGCCCCCTTGTAATAGCTGCCTCCACCCTAGGAAAAAGTCTCTGGCTGTCCATTTTATCTATACCTCTGATCATTTTGAACACCTCTATCAAGTCACTTCTCATCCTTCGTTCTAAAGAGAAAAGCCCTAGCGCTCTCAACCTTTCCTCGTAAGACCTTCCTTCCATTCCAGGCAACATCCTGATAAATTTCCTCTGCACCTTTTCCAATGTTTCCACATCTTTCCTCTAATGAGGCGACCAGAACTCAACACAATACTCGAGATGTGGCCGAACAAGGGTTTTGTATAGCTGGAGCATAACTTCACAGCTCTTGAACTCAATCCCTCTATTAACGAAAGCTAACACTCCATACGCCTTCTTAACTCTATCCACCTGGGTGGCAGCTTTCAGGGAAATGTGGACATGAACCCCAAGATCCCTCTGCTCCTCCACACTGCCAAGAATCTTTCCATTAACCCTGTATTCTGCTTTCAAGTTTGACCTTCCAAAATGAATCCCCTCGCACTCTTTTCAGGGTTAAACTCCATCTGCCACTTCTCAGCCCAGCTCTGCATCCTATCAATGTCCCTTTGTAACCGAGAACGGCCCTCCGTACTATCCACAACTTGACCCACCTTCGTATCGTCTGCAAACTTGCTAATCCACCCTTCCACTCCTTCATCCAAATCATTTACAAAAATCACAAATAGAAGAGGACCCAGAACTGATCCTTGTGGTAGCTGAGCACCAAGTTGAATATTTTCCGCCCACTACCACCCTTCGTCTTCTAAGGGTCAGCCAATTCTGAATCCAATCTGCCACATTTCCCCCTATCCCATGCCTCCTTACTTTCTGCATGAGCCTACCATGGGGAACCTTATCAAACGCCTTACTTAAATCCATGTATACCACATCCACTGCTCTACCTTTATCCACGTGTTTGGTCACCTCTTCAAAGAATTCAATAAGGTTTGTGAGGCATGATCTACCCCTCACAAATCCATGCTGACTATCACGAATCAAACTGTGCCTATCTCAGTGATCATAAATCCAGATTCTCAGAGCCCTTTCCAATAATTTGCCCACCACTGAAGTAAGACTAACTGGCCTCTAAGGTTTTGGAGTAGATCTGTAGCTCGGGTTGTGGGTGTTGAGGTTGGTTGGCTCGCCGAGCTGGTTTGTTGTTTTGCAGACGTTTCATTACCGTGCTTGGTAACGTCCTCAGTGCAGCCTCTGATGAAGCGTCAGTGTGTTTTCCCGCCTGGTTTTTAAACTCTGGGGTCCGTTGAGATGGATTGCCTCACTTCTGGTTTTCCTTCATAGTGGAATGTATACGGGGTCGACCCCAATGTGTTTATTAATAGCATGCTTCGTGGAGTGCCATGCTTCCAGGAATTCTCGTGCTTGTCTCTGCCTAGCGTGTCCCAGGATCTTGCTGTTGTCCCAGTTGAAGTCCTGGTTCTCCTTGTCCATGTGGATTGAGACGAGTGAGTATTGGTCGTGTCTTTTTGTAGCCAGTTGGTGTTCATGTACTCTTGTTAGTTTCCTTCCTGTTTGTCTGATGTAGTGTTTCTCGCAGTCTCTGCAGGATATTTTGTAGATGATGTTGGTCCTGTCCATGGCGGGGAGTGGGTCTTTAGTTCAGGTGAGCACTTGTCGTAGGGTTGACATGGGCTTGTGTTCCATTCTGATGCTCAGCGGTCGTAGGAGTCTTGTGGTGAGTTCCGGTGTGTTCCTGATGTAGGGTAGTGTGATGAGTGTGTTGGGGCGTGTAGAATCTTTCTGATGCTGTTCGTGTAGGCATCTTCTGACCCAGTTCTTTGGATATCCACTATCCTTGAACACTTGGAAGAGGTATTCTTCTTCCTCTTGGCGTAGTTCTATATTGCTGCATTGTGTTGTTGCCCTTTTAAATAGTATTCGCACGCAGCTTCGTTTGTGTGTGCTGGGATGGTTACTATTGAAGTTCAATACCTGGTCTGTGTGTATGGCTTTTTTTGGTGTACTTTCGTTTGCAGTTCCCCATTTGTTCCCATTTTCTTGCCAATTTGAGTGTGTTGCGCCCGTAGGTCTCTAAGGCTTTGGAGTAGATCTGTAGCTCGGGTTGTGGGCCTGTAATTTCCGGGGTTATCCCTATTCCCTTTTTTGAACAAGGGAATGACGTTTGCCACTCTCTAATCTTCCAGCACTGTACCCGTGGACAGTGAGGACGAAAAGATCATCGCCAAAGGCCCTGCAATCTCTTCCTTCGCTTCCCATAGAATCCTTGGATAAATCCCATCAGGCCTGGGGGACTTATCTATCTTCAAGTTCCTCAAAATTCCTAGTACATCTTCCTTACTAACATCAACCTCCTCTAGCCTACCAGCCTGTTTCACACTGTCCTCCCCTACAACTAGGTCCCTCTCAGTTGTGAATACCGAAGAAACGTATTCATTAAGGACCTCTCCTATCTCTTTAGGCTCCGTGCACAAATTTCCTTTACAATCCTTGGTCGGCCCTACCCTTTCTCTGGTCAGTCTCTTATTCTCTTATTCCTCCTGTACATGTAAAAAGCCTTGGAGTTTTCCTTGATCCTATCTGCCAAGGTTTTCTCATGCCCCCTTATAGCTCTCCTAAGCCCTTTCTTCAGCTCCTTCCTGGCTAACTTGTATCCGTCTAGAGTCTTTTCCGATCCTTGTTTCCTAAACCTTATGTAAGCATCCTTCTTCCTCTTAACCAGTTGTTCGACCTCTCTCGAGAACCAAGGCTCCCTTACTCGACTGCATCTTCCCTGCCTGCTAGGGACAAACCTATCGAGCGCATGCAGTATGCATTCCTTAAACAATCTCCACATTTCTACAGTGCTCTTCCCTGACAGTGTCTGTTCCCATTTACTGTTACCCAGTTCTTACCTAACAGAATTATAATTACCCTTCCCCCAATTATAAACCTTACCCTGCTGTATGTACCTATTCTTTTCCATGACTATTGTAAAAGTAACAGAGTTATGATCGCTACCACCAAAATGCTCTCCTACCAACAGGTCTCACACTTGGCCTGGTTCACTGCCAAACACCAAATCCAAAGTGGCCTCTCCTCGTGTTGGTCTATCTACATACTGTGTCAGGAATCCTTCCTGAACGCACTGGACAAAATCCGCTCCATCTAAACTATTACAACTAAAAAGTTTCCAATCAGTGTTTGGAAAGTTGAAGTCACCCATGACTACAACTGTGACTTCTGCACCTTTCCAGTATCTGCCTCCCAATCCGCTCCTCCACTTCTCTGCAACTAACAGGGGGTCTGTTTTTAAAAAAAAAAACCCCAACAAAGTGACTGCTCCTTTCTTATTCCTGACCTCAACCCAAACTGATTCTGCAGACATATCATTCCGAACTGCCTTTCAGTAGCTGCTATACTAGCCCTGACTATTTTCTATCTTGATAGAAAATAAACCTGAGGTGTGTTTCAATGTTCTTCTCAGTGGTTTTGAGAATCTTTGTGCAAGCAAATTTATTGTTAACCTTCTTGTGTTACATTTTGAGGTATAATTTCATAATTGCTTTGGTACTGAAATGTAGGTCCTACGAAAGACTTAGAAAATAACATTGGCCTAGTCAGAGGCAGCATTATTCACTGCAATTTTGTCTTGTTTTAGTTTTTGAATCTCAAAAAGGTCTACGGCCAGAAAATGATCACTTTAAGAGTGAAAATCGGGAACCAAACAGGAGGCCATCAGGTATGTGACTTTGTTACCATCCAATAATCATTTCTTTGTTCTGTGACCTAATTCATTGTTGGGTACAGCTGAGTGAGAATGCTGGTCCAGCTGCAAATGGAGAGACCAATAGTGCTGGGCAGTAAATGGGAATACACTCGTACCTGCACTTAACTTCCTGGATGTGGTCTCCGGGGAGGTGGACCTGTTTGCCCTTGACTTTTGGGGTGTTAATGTATGTGTATTATAAGATCTTGTGTCAATACAATGTTGTGCTTAGCATAAGGTTGCATTTGCTGATATCTAGGAGTATGTATGGTAGCAACATAATTTGAAATAAATGGAAGTAAAAAATGATTTAAAAGAAAACTTAAATGCTCACAAACGAATAAAGAAATGAAAACATATTTTGGTGAAAAGAAAGCAAACTTACATGAAGGAGAGTTTTAATCAGGTTTATATTGTGCATGCTCGTCTAAAACAAAGCGGAGGTGAGCATACACAGTCCAAATTTATCATCAGATGGTGTCAGCAATTGCATGCTCTCCGTATAAACTGGGATTCCAGGTCAGACATTCACAGTCAGACAATCAATACTTTGGCGTATGTCGTCTATGAAAGTTTTAATGTGTCCCATTGAGCTTTAAATCTGATGGTATTTCATATTTCAGTAACTCCTTTATTCAAAAAGTATTGGATTACAGGTATGGCTATGAGGAAAGCTTAAAGTTCTCCAAGAAAAGATTAGTTCAGGTGAGATGTTGACCTAAAATTTGATGAAAAATGAGTTTAGAAGAAGTTTATAAAAGGTGTGTTGAGAATTAGGAGGTTTTTAAAAAGTCTTGCTACAGCTATTCCAGTTGGAAGCATCCTTCGCAAGTATCCAACCTTGTATGGTAAGCCATTTCTCATTACTGCATCTAAAATATTGCTGATTACTCAGCATATCGATGCCAATAATTCCTCTCCCAGTTTGGCTGGTTCTAATCTTCCCCACCTAGTGGTGTCCAAAAGGAATTGTTTTCCTTAAGTCTCCGTGACCTGATTAACTTAACTTCCATCACAGTCAGTGTCTCCAGTGACGAGTGTTTCATCAATGAAACCTTGTTTTGAATTCCAAGTGATCACATGAGGGCGATGTTTTTTTAAACATCATTTGTATAAAAAGGTTGCATAAATGTAATTATCATTAATGGAAAAAGCTGACTGGAAATTGCAGTTTTCAACTAATAATGTGGAACTAGTTGACAGGTTTAAACAAGGTACAATGAGGTGCCAAGAACAAGATGTATTTCGAAAAGCCAAAACAAGCAATGACTGTTTGGATCAGAGATAGTAGGAACTGCAGATGCTGGAGAATCCGAGACAACAAGGTGCAGGGCTGGATGAACACAGCAGGCCAAGCAGCATCATAGGAGCAGAGGGTTGGAGAAGCGTGGCAAGTGATTGCAATTACGTACAAAAACGTTTTCCAGTTTGAAAAGCTTAGAATTGCAGGATGTTTTAGATCTGTTGCTGGCCTTGTAGCTCTTGATGACTTGTCCAAATTTAACATTTGTGTAGGAAAGAAGTGGTTTTAATTTTAACTTTTAAAAGCATTAGAGTTTGATGTTCTTCCCATTTAATTTTCATAAGTTCAAAAATAAAAAATAATTTTGGGGACGGCTGGCCATTATACCCTGAACTTAAGCGAAGCATTTCACAAATATGAGACTCTTCAAAATTTAAACAACTTTTAAGTATTTTAATTTCAGGTATCTCCTTTCCTGGGTATTTGATGAGAATTGATTACTTAGGAATTTGATGCTGGTATATGATTTTGTCATATTGTTGTGCTAATTCCCATTCTGACCTGCTCCACTAATAAGTGGCTACTTCTCGCAGGGGCTACTGCAAGCATTTTTTGTCTTTGATTTCAGAGATCACTGTAATGTATATTTCCTTTGTTCATATCACTGACTGGGAATTGGTTTGTAAGTCCTTGAGTGGTTTCATGTTTCGACACCAAGTTTCAAGTATTTTTAATTTGCCTGTTCAGAGATATAGGGTTAGGCAATAAATGCTGGCCTAGCCAATAATTCCTATGTTCCTGTTAACAAACTTTTAAAAAGACCTTTGTGGCAGGGTAGAACTTCAATCTGGACCTACTTGCCCTAGAGATAGGGATCAACGTTACCTCTAAGCTGTGTGTATGCACAGCCGCTATGATGTTCTGTGCACAGCGATCAGCGATGGCACACTTATTGCGGCATTGACTTCCAGTTCCAGACGTTGCTGCTGTGTATAAACCTTGGAGGCACATGCAACTGCTAAGAAAGTTTGAGGGAACACTGGTAAAGATGGTACTATTGCTCCACAATATCCCCTTTTTTTTTTTTAAAACGTAAATTCCACCAGCTGCCATGGTGGCATTTGAACCCATGCCCCAAGTGCTTTAGCCTGGAACTCTAGATTTCTGAGATGAGTGACACCGCCACTACACTGTCTGGGTATGTGATTAGTTGAACTAATTAACAGAGTTTGGGTAAATTCATTCTATCAATCTCTATTCAACTGTATTTTGAAATTTGTGGCTGTTTCATCATTATATTGTGTATGAAACTGAGAGATCACTAGTTCAGAATTTCATAACCCTTTGTTGTATTAACTGTGGAGATGTTTTTTTTCACATGCAGTGCTTTCCTGGATAACCCATCTCATTTAGTACCGAGGAAGGGCCACTGGACGTGAAACGTTAACTCTGATTTCACTTCACAGATGCTGCCAGACCTGCTGAGCTTTTCCAGCAACTTCTGTTTTTGTGTCATTTTAGTACAAGTGCACCTCTGCAGTTGCACGACGAAGAATTCTTATTACTTAGATTTTGAAAGTATATTTGAAAGCATGTTAAAGTTGGCAGGCTGTCTATGTGCACACAATTCTGATTTGACTGATTTTACAACTTGCCTGTTTGTGGGCAAAGTGAGCTTTGGGATAATGTTCAAGACTACAGTTTAATCTTTGTTTTGTGCTGTGATTGATTTTGAGCTGCCTATGTAGGGATTGTATGAGATGAGATAGTAGATGAGTAAAATTGCCTTCTTGGATCACATCCATCCACAGGTACATATTGACTTGGTTTATTTACGCTGTTACAAATGGACACCTGTGGATGGAATACTATTTAACTGAAATAATGGGCTGCTGGAAGTATCTTAAGAAACCATGTCTTTATTGTAATCTTTGAAGATTCAACTGTAGGCACTTTGTTTCTGCACTTACCAGTTAGAGTCAAAAAGCCATATGGCATAGAAACAGGCTGTTCAGCCCACCATGTCTGTGCCAACCAATAAATGCCAAACCCCATATTCCCATTGACCTGCACTTGGTCCATAGCCTACTGTGACTCAGCATTTTAAAATACGCTTCCAGATGTTTCTTAAATTTATCACAGTACATGCCTGTGTTTGTTCCTCAGTACTCCCTGGGACTAGCATGCATTATGTACGTCCTTCTTCCCTTAATAAACCTCCCAAAATTCCATCTCCATTGCCGTGCCCATTTTATCAGCTGATCAATATCAAACTGTGGCCTTAGAAATCAGTGTTGTTGATAATATATCATCTGCAACTTACTAATTAAAATATTCTTCACATCCATGTCCTTCATGTACATAACATACAGCAAGGGTCCCCTCACTCATCACCCTTTGTAAGCCAGTTTTGGAACGGTTTTGCCAACTTGCCTTGGATCACATAAGCCTCTATCTTTGGTGCAGTCTTTCTAATGGGACCTTGTCAAAGGCCTTACTGAAGTCCATTTAAAATACATCAGTTGCACTACCCTCAATATATTTAGTCACTTTTTCAAACTGGATCCTCAGACAGGATCTCCATCCAACAGATCCTGGCTGACTATCCCTGATCAATCTCTGTCTTTCCAAGTATTGATTAATACTGTCCTTCAGAATTTTTTCCAGTAATTTTCCTACCACTGATGTCAGACAAACTGGTTTGTAATTACCTGCTGCCCGTTTTGAACAAGGAAACCACATTAGCTATCCTCCAGTCATCTGGTGACTGGGGCCAGCAAAGTATTAAGTATATCCACCAGGGCTGACAGTCTCCTCCCTTGTTCCCCATAGCAACCTGTAATAGATCTCATCAGGCCCGGAGGATTTCTGAATCGGCTTCTTGATGCGCTAACATTTCTTCTACCTGTTATCAGGGGGTCAGGCTGTCCGGCGAGGGCGTGGTGGGAGCCGAGGAAGGGGAAGATTCACTGTAAGAAGAGACGGCCCAATGAAGTTCGAAAAAGACTTCGACTTTGAAAGTGCAAATGCACAGTTTAACAAGGAAGAGATTGATAGGGAGTTCCAGAATAAGCTGAAATTGAAAGGTAATGTTTTCTTTTTTGGGTCTTGTGTTCACTGAGGCTACAGTTTCTTTATAGCATTGTTCACAGCTGAGGCTCTTGGTATTTTTACTGTTTATATACGTTGTCATTAGTGCCCTTTGACTTTGACTCATCTTTAGCACTCTGACTCCCACATACTGGCTGTGTGGGAAAACCAGACAAAATGGCTAACATATTCAAAGATTACGATGGCCAAGCATAGAACGCTATGGACCAGGTTTTGGAAAACGGGATTAGAACCATCTACAAGGCACAAGTCAGGAGGGTGATGGAATATTCCCCACATGCCTAGATGAGTGCATCTCCAACAACAGTCAAGAAGCTCGACACCATCCAACACAAAGCAGGCCACTTAATTGACACCACATCTACAAACAATGAATTTCTTCCCCTACTGCTGTTCAATAGCTCAATAGCAGCAGTGTGTACTATCTACGAGATGCACTGCAAAAATTCTCTAAAGATCTTCAGAAACTCACAACCACTACTGTCTAGAATGAGAGAGCAGTAGGATATATGGCAATAACCTTGCCTGCAAGTTCCCCTGTGAACCACCCACCATCCTGACTTGGAAGTATATTGCCATTCGTTCATTGTCATTGAGTCAATGTCAGGACTCCTGCATTAACACTGAGCAGCATGAAAGGAGAGTTCTGTTGCAGTCCTTCAGAACCGATGTTAAAATGAGGCTGATTCCTGTCTGCTCTGGTATCCTAATGAGACATCAAAGAAACCTTTTCTCTTCTTGCCTTGGCCCACATGATGTAAAATATATTTACTGCTTAAGTTTGTTTTCTCTATTGCAAGTGACTACAGGCAATTTACTTGACTGCGTGGTACTCTGGGATGTCTTGATGTTGTGAAAAACTTAGTTTAAGGAGCTTCTTGAAAGAGGAAAGTGAAGTGGAGGGGAGTAGGGAAAGGTGTTTGGAGATATTGAGAAGGTGGTGGTGGTGAGCTGCTGCCTTGAACCACTGCAGTCCACATAGGTGTTCCAGAGCTTGGACACAAACAACTGTAAATCCAAACACCAATGGTGATGCAAAACAGCTCAGAGCACAGATATGAGGATTGTGGAGACGATTAGAGATGGGGAGGACAGAGGCTGTGGAGGAATTCGCACATGAGAATTCAAATTTGAAAATCAAGGCATTACTTCACTAAGTTTATGTAGGTCTGCAAGCACAGGTTGATAGGCCAGTGGAACTTTGTGCAAGTTAAGACACAGGCAGTTGAGTTTTAGATGATCTCATATTTATGAACAGTTAGATATGGGAGATCAGTCAGGAATGTGTTTGAATAGTTGAGTCTAGGTAGAAGATAAGATCAAGAGTAGGTCATTGAATCCTTCAACCCTGCTCCACAATTCATTAAGATCGTGCCTGATGGCCGAGCTCAATACCATAATCCGCTCCCCCTCCCCACATATCCCTTGATCCCTTTAATCACAAGCTATATCTCCCTCCTTGAAAGCAGAATGTTTTGACCTCAGCCATTTTCTGTAGTAGTGAATTCCATGGGCTCACCACTCTGAGTGAAGAAATTTCTCCTCATCTTAGTCGTAAAAGGTTTACCCCTTATCCTTAAACAATTGATCCCTGGATTTGGATTTCCCCAACATCAGGAACATCATCCTCCCATCAAATCTGTCTCGTCCTGTTAGAATTTTATAGGCTGCTATGAGATTCCTCTCATTCTTCTAAACTCCAGTGAATACCAATCCTAACTGACTCCATCTCTCCTCGTATGTCAGTCCTGCCTTCCCAGGAATCAATTTGGTAAACCTTTGCTGCACTCCATCTATAGCAAGAACATCCTTCCTCTGATAAGGAGACAAGAACTGTGCACAATATTCCAGGTGTGGTCTCACCAATGCCCTGTATAATGGCAGCAAGACATCCTTGTTCCTTTCACTGTGACAGTCGACATATAGTTTGTCATCTTTACTGCCTGCTGCACCTGCGCGCACATTTTTAGCGGCTGGTGCACGAGGACTCCCAGGTCTTGTTTAACATTTCCCTATCTTAATTTACAGCCATTCAAATAAGCTGCCTCCCTATTTTTGCTACCAGAATGGACAATCCCACACTTATCCATATTATACTGCTTCTGCCATGTATTTGCCTGTGCAAATCACACTGCAATATCTTTGCATTCTCCTCACAGCTGACCTTTCTATCCAGCTTTGAAATGTCTGCAAATTTTAGCCTAGTCCTGAGCGACCACTGTGCAGACGAGTGTTTCGCCAGCGAGTGAAATCTTGGAGGCAGAAACAGTTAGCCTTCATGATGATGCACGTATGACTTCAAGAGCTCATCTCTCCCTTCAAATATGATATCATTGTTGCAAACAGATTGACTTAATCTTGGACTGTTGCCAGAGAGAAGGATAATGTCAATAATTGGGGAATGAAGTTTGGAGCATGGACTGCAAACACTAGCATCCATCTTCGCATTTCTTATTTGGAGGAATTTCTGCTTGAGCAATATTGTATGTCAGGTTAGCAGTCTGATAATTGAGCAACAGTGGAGGAGTTGCATGGTGTTGAGGTCAAGCTGAGTATCATCAGTGTATGTGAGAAACCTACCACTTTGCCTTTAAATGATGCCGCTGAGGAGCAGAATGTAGATGCAAAGGAGAAGGGTGCCAAAGATCTATCCTTATAAGTGCCGGAGGTAACAGTGAGAGAGCAGGAGGAGAAGTCATTGCAAATGAATTTCTAGATGATGTTGGAGGAGGCTGATGTGGGATAAACAGTATCAGAAGTTACAGACCGCTAGAAAGGACAAGGAGCAAAAGTTTAGGTTCTGGGAAATGACCAGGTAATCTGTCAGTGATGTATGTTGAGAAAAAGGATGTTAACGGAGAACACCTCTGCTCCAACTTGGTGTCTATCTGGAACCCTAGATAAGACCTTGATTTAATGTTTCATCCTAAAGTTGGCAGCTATAATAGTGCAGCGTTCCTCATTACTGCATTACAGTGTCAACCTAGATGTGTGCACAAGTCTGTCGAGTGGAATCAATAACATTTTGACACTGAGGCTTAACCTACTGAGCCCTGGCCGACAGCATTGAATGTCCTGCTATAGACTGATCAGGACTAGGCCAGTTGTTTTTCGGGATTAGTTAAGTAATTTGATGCAAGGGATTTTCCAAGTGTTGTGTGACTTGGTGATTGAGTTTCTCCAATCTTGGTATATGAACTTTAGAATCTGTGTAAATGCTGATATCTAGATAACCACAAACTACTTGGAATGTTCCAGCACAGACCATTTGTTCTATCAGGTCAGTACCATTGTTCCCTTCTTGAATAAGTCAGTCTAACCCTTCTTGCTCCTGTTTCACTTTAATATTCCTTCTATGCAAATTGTATATTTCTTTTTAGTGATTTACAAGAATGGCTTCAGGAATGAGTAACTTTAGTTATGAGGATAGATTGAAGAAGTTGGGACTGCTCTTCTTGCAGAGAAGGAGGTTGAGAGGAGATTTGATAAAAGTTTTCAAAATCATGAGCCTGCTGAATAAAATGGATAAGGAGAATATATTCCCCCTTGTAAAAGAAACCAGAATGAGAGGGCATTGATTTTAAAGTAATGTGCAAAAGAAGCTTTTTATACAAGGAGTAATTAATGTTGGTAACACTTCCTGGAAATGTGGATGCATATTAAAATAAGGCATTCAAGAGGGGCATTGGGTGGTGTACAGGGATATGGGAAAGGCAGGAGGTTGGCACTAGGTAATAAAACCAGTGCAGGCACGATGGACTGTAAGGCCTCCCTTTGTGTCGCAACAATTCTGTAATTTTATGGCAGAGAATTCTACACTCTAACCAAGAGATAGCAAGAACATCACATACTGGAGTCAGAAACGACACGGTGTGGAGGTAGAGGAACACAGTCGGTCAGGCAGCATCGGAGGAGCAGGAAAGTAGACATTTCAGGTCGCGACCCTTCATCAGTCCTCCACCTTTGCACTGTATTGACTCTGCATTCTAACCACCTCTCCCACTGATGAGATCTGTTTTTCAATTAGCCTTGTGTTTGGTCCAGCAAACATGATTTCAAAACTTAATCTGTGTGTGTTTTAACTGCTGTTTACAGATGTTGGAGTAGCACAGATGCAAATGTGCTTATTGCATGTGGGAAAGCTCATCAGTTTCCTTCACTCAACTCTTTGCGGTTGAAATGTTAAAGCTAGGTCCTGTTTACCCTCTCAATTGGATAGAATAGGTCCTGTGGAACTGTTTTTGAAGGACGAGCAAAGGATTAATACTTAATCTGTCAACCAACATTAATAAAGCAGTTAACTAGCTATTAAGATAACCAGGTGTAGAGCTGGATGAACACAGCAGGCCAAGCAGCATCAGAGGAGCAGGAAGGGTGACGTTTCGGGCCTAGGCCCTTCTTCAGAAATGGGGGAGGGGAAGGGGGTTCTGAAATAAATAGGGAAAGAGGGGGAGGCGGATAGAAGATGGATAGAGGAGAAGATAGGTGGAGAGGAAACAGACAGGTTAAAGAGGCAGGAATGGAGCCAGTAAAGGTGAGTGTAGGTGTGGAGTTAGGGAGGAGATAGGTCAGTCCAAGGAGGACGGACAGGTTAAGGGGGCGGGATGAGGTTAAAAGGTAGGAGATGGGGGTGGGGCTTGAGGTGGGAGGAAGGACAGGTTAGGGAGGCGGGGACAAGCTGGGCTGGTTTTGGGATGCGGTCGGGGGAGGGGAGATTTTGAAGCTTGTGTAACTAGCTATTAATACTTCTTTATTTAATGGGATGTGGCAAAGACAGCATTTGTTGCCCATCCGTAACTTGCCCTGATCGAAGTGGCTTGCTAGGCCATTTCAGAGGTCAGAAAGAGACAGCCACATTGCTCTGAATCTGGAGTCACAATACCATATTGGGAAAGTGAACAGATTTCCTTCCCTGAAGGACATTAGTGAACCAGACATGTTTTTAGCACAATCGATGATAATTTCAGGGTTACTATTATTGAGACTAGTTTTATTTAATTGTATTTAAATTTCACGAGCTGTAATGATGAAGTTTGAACCTATGTCCCCAGAATCATTGCCTTTTGTGGAAGCTTGCTGTATGTGAATTAGCTGTCCTGCTTCTTGCATTAGAAATGTGGTAATATTGGAAAAACACTTCACTGGCTTTAACACACTTCGGGATATTTGTGAGGTTGTGAAAGATTTTGTAGAAACGTTTAATAGTTGCTTGATTTGTGAATCAGTGGTTTATTTTTTTATAATTTAATGATTTACTTTGCTTTTGTGCTGTTAATTGCTCAATAAACTTTGACGTCCTCTTGTTTCTTGTCAGATGATAAACAGCCTGACAAAACAGAGAAGGCTGTAAATGGTGAAGATAAAGGTGACTCAGGGATTGAAACGCAAAACAGTGAAGGAAATGCTGATGAAGATGAAACTTTAGGACCGAAATGTTATTATGACAAAACCAAATCCTTTTTTGACAACATTTCCTGTGATAATGAAACCAGGTATTTATTACCTGCCAAAAATGGCAACCTTACACCTGTGCCAACTTAGCATTCTGATTTCACAGTTGCAATTTCCTCTCCTGTAAATGTGAAAATGGCAAACTCGAGGTGGGTGATGTTACTGTGGAGGATACTGGGGAAAAAAACATTATCCTGACATGAGAGGGATTTACACTCTGCTGTTGCAATGCTGAGTTTTGTAATGCCCTTCTGTTAGAATTATCCATTTGCTGGACTGCAGCATAGCACAGATGGTGCCTGGATTAATTTACAGTCCAGGCTGTGGATCTTTGGAAATGAGAAGCCTTTAGAGGAAAAATAGTTTGAGAAGACAGCTTGCCATCAAATTTTCATCTGAAACCATAGTTGGGAATAAGGGCAAGCCTTTGCAATGACACCCATACCATGGGAATGAATTTTATTTTAAACCATAGTTTGCATTTGAACAAAAGACAATGCAATCAAGGAATATAGTTCCATATGTGTAAAAATAAACTGAGGTACAAACATGATCTAATTAAGAGGCTCAACAGGCTTGGACTGAATGGCCCTTTTCTGTCAATAATGTGTACTGTTGATTTACATTTGGTGTGCCTGCACTATAACTCTCTCCTTAGCTATTTCTCTTCCAGAGATCGGAGACCGACATGGGCTGAGGAGAGGCGGATAAATGCAGAAACATTTGGAATACCACTGCGCCCAATGCGTGGCCGAGGAGGCTTCAGAGGACGAGGAGGTTATGGATATCGGGGAGGGCGGGGCCGTGGAGGAAGAGGGAACTATGGTCCTCCCCGTGGTGGTTATCGTGGAGGTTTCAGAGGAGGGCGTGGAGGAGGCAGAGAGTTCTCAGACTTTGAATACAGGGTAACGTGAACCTCTGTAATTACACACTTTTTCTTTTTAAAAATCTAATAACTGCAGTTCGGAACAAGTTAGATCTGTGCAAATAGGAGGTGGCATCAAAGTTTTGCTCACTCAGCTGAACTTGTGACTTGTATTTTCTAATGGTTTTTACTATAAGTGGAGGAATCCAAAACTAAGGGACAGAGATAATAAGACCAAAAAGGAATTCAGAGCCAAACTTCTTTCCAGGCAGATGGAATTTTGGACAGATGGAACCAGGAGGTTGAGGAGAATAGCATAGGTCCATTTAAGAGTGAGGTAGATCATTAGATTCAGAAGAATGGAATGGGAGGATACATTGATAAGTTGGAAGGAAGCTCATAGGAACCATGGTATCTAGCATGGACCTATCAAGACTATGGTTAGATGCTAAAGGGGATTGACAGTGTAGACCCAGAGAGAATGTTTCCTTTTGTGAAGCTCGAATGAGAAGTCCTAGTTTTGGATAAGGGATAGCAGATTTAAAGCAGAGATAAGGGGAAATTACTTCTCTCATTGGTACGTGAATCTGTGGAATTCACTACCCCAGAGTTTGCTGGATGCTGGGACGTTGAGTAAATTTAAGGAGGAGGTAGAAAGATATTGAATCAGTAAAGAGTTGAAGAATTATGGAGAGTGGGCAGGAAAGTGGAGTTGAGGCCAAGATGAGATCAGCCATGATTGTATTAAATGGTAGAGCAGGCATAAGGGGCTAAATAGTCCACTTGTTATTATAAAATGGTCCAACAAGCCACTCAGATCAATGGCAATTAGAAATGGGTAACAAATGCTAGCATTGCCAGCGCCAACCACATGTCAACAAGCACCCAGTGAAGATGGGAAGTCATGTTGAGGTAGTACAGGACATTGGTGAAGCCTCTTCTGGAATACTGTGTCCAGTTTTGGTAACCCAGTTACAGGAAAGATATTAAGCTGGAGAGGGTTCAGAAGAGATTTACCAGAATGTTGCTGGGTATGGAAGGTTTGAATTAGGCTGGATAGGCTGAGACTTTTTTCACTGGGGTGTGGGAGGTTTAGAGGCAACCTTATAGAAGTTTATAAAATAATGAGTATAGATTGGGTCACTGGCAGTGTATTTTCCCTAGGATGGGGGATTTCAAGACTGGGGGCATATTTTTAAGGTGAGAGGAGAGAGATTTTAAAAAAGACATGAGGGGCAATTTTTTTTACACTGGGTGGTTTGAGTGTGGAATGAACTGCCTGAGGAAGTGGTGGATGTGGGTACAATTACAACGTTTAGAAGACATTTGGATATGTGCGTCCATAGGAAAGGTTTGGAGGGAAATGGGGCAGGAGCAAGCAGGTGGGCCTAGTGTAGTTTGGGATTATTGTTCAGCGTGGACTTGTTAAACTGAAAGGTCTGTTTCTGTGCTATATGACTCTATGACTGGCAATTTGAAACTAAAATGAGAAACGCTGGAAATCTCGCTCACTCTCTCTACTGATGCTGCTGGATCTTCTCAAATGTATTTCATTAGAAGGTCTTGAAATTGTGAATGACACTGTTGAAATGCAAGATGTTTTCAGAAGTTTGCATTACTTTGAATCATGTCTTAATTGTTTTGACTTTGCTTGATGGCACAGCATTATTTTAGTCAACAATAAAACCTAAAATGTTGCAAATGGGTAAGTCAGTTAAAATTTGTCATCAGCCCCAACTTAAAGCTGCATTTCATCTTTTCTCTTCACAGAAGGATAATAAAGTTGCTGCATAGTATGCAAACTGGATTTCCCTGAAAAAGGACTTTAGATCTACGCAGTCCAGAAAATTTGTTTAGTTTCAAACTTATTTTTGACAGCAAAAGTGAAGAAATTAATTTGCTGTACATCTGTCACCAGCACTGGTATTTACGTGCTTGACATCAAAAGGGAGAACACGCAATATCTTGTTGTGCAGAAGGTTCGTCTTTACAATGTTGAGCATTAAATATTCGTCTTTGAAATAGCAGAAGGAAATTTCTAAATGTATAGATACGACTAGTATGTTGGAGCTTTCCAGTATTTTTGCATTGATAACGAGAGTGATTTCTTATTACTGAAAATGTTTGATAAAAATGCTGTCAGTTGCAAGAAATACTGTATGCAGCTGGCCATCTACTGTGATTGCAGTCTGACTGATACTTTACAGGAAACTACATTGAAAGCTATTCAAATTTATTTTTTCCATGGAATGATAAAACTTAGCTTTAATCTGCGTAGGACAAAACATAATACTTAATGCGCGCTGGACATTTTTTATGGAGAAAAAGTGGGATCAGAACATCTTTCATGACGCAAGACCCCGGAGATGACTCTCCTGAGTTAAAAAACTTTCTGGTGTCTGTCAACTGTTCTTTGTTTTATGAAACAAAATTTTTCATTTCGAACAAAAAAAAGTTAAATTTGTAGCCTTTTTTAAATTGAGTAAATTTAGCTCTGAGATACAAAGCAAAAAGGGATCCAAAGAGGAAGAATTTTTGAATTTATATAGCCATGTGAAACTGATTTTGAACTTCACGATTGACATGTAATATATAGTGTATAGTCAGTACCCTTGTAAGGTCTTACCCATAAAAAGGAGCTTGATCATATGAGATTTCCGTCACTGTCATTTTTCACTTTCTGTCTGGTTCCTTGCCATGCTTATCACATAATAATAAAGTAACTATACACTAAATATTATTAAAAACTAAGTAGTGTCAGTGAGTTTGAGGATGTAATTCAATCACTTAGGTCTTTGCTCTTGTGTTTCATGATATTCAAATTGCTTGACTTGAATTACACTCTTGGTACTAGCTGTGGATCTGATCTATTTATTTGAAATTAATTACAGACTTTGGAGGGGGGGGGGGAGGGGAATGGCACATTTGGATACTTGGCTTGAACTGACACACACAGAACCCCAGGTAAACACACACTCTCTCTCTCACTCTTTCTCTCTCTTTCTTTTTCTCTCTCTGTCTCTCTCTCTGTCTCTCTCTCTGTCTCTCTCAGTATAATGCTTTGGAATGGTGTTGGAAAGGGTTGTCGTTTGCAGAGAGTGGGGTGGAAGAAATGCAATTTCTGAGAGTCTAGGATGTGAGGGAATACCCTTTTCTTTATAGGTTACAGAACTCCCATCAGAGAAAAGTCGGCCAAAATATAACCCATCTAAGACTACACTGTAACCATTTTAGACTTGGTGAGATGCAGCCTTGATCAAGTGTCATTGACATGCCATCAGAACAACACTTGCAAAAAGAAAACCCCTCAAATTGCATTCAGCACCAGCTCTTTGAGTTTACTTTTCCTATTCTGTCAAGCCATTTTCTTTTAAAGGATTAGTTCCAAAAACAGTTTTGGGATTTGAGTTGATGCCAACAACTTTGACCAGCAATTGCTTGGTAAAATGCTGTGAAAATCCAGGCAGAGGCAGCAGATTGGTGATTATGCATGATAGTTGTGGCAATATCTGTATATTGGTTATGTGAGTTGCCCCTTGCTCTATTCTAAATTATGCTAAATGCTACATGTGTTATGCAGGTTTAACATTTCAGCACTTTTTCCTCCTGCTTAACTTTGAATGTTAACCAGATGTGCTGCTGTTTACTTGAACCAGACAATTACAGCATAGTATATTTTTCTGTTTCCCCCACTGACTTAACTTGAGATTTTTCATCAATAATGAGAAATAAAAGGTTGTCCAGAAAATTCAGCTGCTTGGTGTTATGTTTCAAGGGACTGAATCTCTTTGCAGGCAGAATTAAATAAAGGTTTGAGCAGCTTTGGGGCTGAGTCATAGAATCACAGAGTCTTATGGCATTGAAACATACCCTTTGTTTCAACCAGTCCATGCTGACCATGTTTCCAAACCAAACTAGTCCCACCTGCCTGCGCTTAGCCCATATCCCTCCAAACCTTTCCTATTCATGAACTTATCCAAATGCCTTTTATATGTTGTAACTGTGCCTGCATCCACCACTTTCCCTGGCAGTTTATTCCACACATGAACTAATGTTTGTGTAAAAAAAAAAAAAAAAAAAAAGGTTGCCTCATGTCCTTTTTTAAATCTTTCTCCTCTCACTTTAAAAATATGCTGCCTAGTTTAAACTCCCCTACTCTCGGGAAAAGACCCTTGTCATTCACCTTATCTCTGCCCCTCATGAATTAGGGCAGGGAATATATGAAGTACTTCTGCAGCGAAAGGCTCTGATTAGGCAACGGCAATAAGAATACATCTGGTTTGAGTGTGATGTGCCTTGTCTCAAGTCACACTGTTCAGTTGTCCTCACTGGATTGAATCGCAGACGATGGCACTTGGGTGTGAGGTAGGCAAGAATCCCTGATTAATCCATTCAACTGGGTTTCACATATGCTTATGCCTATCGGGTGAAGAGTTGAAACTTTCACACCGCAGCATCTACATGTGTGATTAAACCATTGAGCTGCGCAAAATAGACAAGAAGAGAGTGATCCAGTCTTGGAAAATTGATCATGTTTCAACAGTTCTTCTGGGAGATCTCCTGCGAATGTTGTGTTCAAGTTGGAGATGTTTGTTTTGATTCATGAAGTGAAGTTGGGAATTGGGTTGTCTGATGTTTCAGTGAGAAAGGAATGGAATACTTGGCCCCATATTGCCCCCATTTGCCCTTCAGATTTGTGAGCCTTGCCAAAAATAAAGGACCAATTTTTATTACACGTTTTTTTTTCCAAATGTGAACAAGCCAAATACGTATCTAGGTATATGTGACAATAATAAATCAAAGCAAATGAAACCAGTGTATGCAGCATTTGCTGACTTCCATATCTTGGGAACCACTGACACCAATCCAGTGTGAACACATTTTGGGAGAATTGGATGATGCAGTGAGTTGCAACTTTGTTCTTTTCAATTTTTCAAGGTCTGGGTACTATACCAAATCTCAAGCCGATGACTGGGATAACAGACTGCTATTTGGTAACAGTGCATTTGAAAATGTAAGTTTAGGTGATCCCTTCTAGTTCCTGGAGGTCATGTTCCCACTGCCCAAGTGGCAGTTTCAATTGAGATGCCTGGTATGAAAATAGATAAAGAGCACAGTGATATATAGGTGACCAACGTAGGACTTAGGATCATGTAGAGGGCGCATTTAGATGGCATTTGACCTGACTCTTAGGAATGCTTACAATAATTGCTTGGTAGATCAAAACTTTAAATATTGCTAAACAATGACACGGAAGGATTCAATATTAAAACAAGTTTTCATTTCATTGGGTTAAAACAAACTCTGGCTGGGACCCCTGTTGTAATTATATTGGAACTTGATCATTGACTTATTTTTGGAGTTTTTAACTTGGGTTTTCAATTTTCTTTTGCTCGATCCCACTTCCCCTCTGCATCCAAAGCTCAAATTATCTGTAGATATGATTTTTTAAATCTTATTTATGGTGGTGATAGAATCATAGTGATATAGTGATGCTGTTTGCTCCTAGCATTTTGACTTTTGATTTCCTTAGGTTTGTAATTATTCTTAGTTCTGTTTCTTGGCTCCAAACAAGGAAGTAGGTCTGCAACATATTTAATCTGGGATCAGATTTGGCATTATTTCAGGATCTATTTGGTTCATTATGTGCATTCAGTTAGGTTGTAAAATGTGCTCACGTAAAAGTATTAGCATTTTGTGATTTTTGTTGTGAGGTTTTTAAGAACTGGAAGCTTTTAACCAAATGCCCAAACAGAGTGATCACATTCTGTTCCTGTTTTGAAGTTCTGTATTCTGTGATGATTCATTCATTGAAAACTGGCTTTAAATTTTTGCCATTTTAAGACTTTGTAAATCACAGAATTAGTTTAATTTATTGTTGGATGGTGTCTACAACAGACAATACAGGCAAGAGAAATTAATTTAAAAAAAACTCAGAATTTGGATATGAAATTCTGGATATTTGGATATTTCTTTATTGTTAGAACTGCTAAGAAGCTTTTTAATGTTCACAATTGCTGTTGGATTCGGCTGCAAATACATGACCCTGTTTCTTTTTCCTGATGTAATATTTTGAGGTACTTTGTCTCCTGTCCAAATAAAATTTTAAGGATAACTTCTTAAGGCTTTTACAGTGCAAGAAGTTTTACTTGTACATTCATTGGCTAGAATCTATAGGATTAGCAATGTAGATTTTCATGTTTGAATTGGAAGCTAAGCTAAAATCTGTTTTAAACTACACTGTGCAGCTCAATATAAATCTGTTGTTGAGGGCAAATATCTGTCAGTATTGTTAGGTAATATATTTCGTTGTCGTTGACAAATGAACTCCATTGGGATATCTTGTATCAACACTCATGGTTTGAGGCAAAACAAGGCAAATGAGTATCTCAAACCATCCCCCCCCAAACCACCTTGAGTACCAGAAGTACATATTCACGGTAGAAGCAAACCAATCCTAAATCAAGTAAAGTTTAAAAACTGGCAAATAGGATTGAAGACTGCTCACCAGGGATAGACTGAAGAATGAAATGTCCTGTGGAGCGTGATTCCGGGACATTTGGAGGGATTGGTGGGGAGATTGGTAATTTCCTTTGGTGTGGTGCAGAGCAGAGCCACTATTAATGGAGGAGATTGTTAATGCAGAAGGATGATCACTGAGTTTGCTTTATTATAGATTTTTAAAAATTACTTTTACTGTTTTAACTTTAGGGAAAAATGCATGTGGAGTTTGCATGTTTTGCATTGAAGGTGAACTATCAAGGACTGTTTGGGTGCAGGATCTCCACTGAAATGTTTTAATTTTGAGTTACAATGAAGAAGCACCAGATCAGTCTAAAAATCCCATGCTTTGAAGTGTTTCCATGTCATAGCATCGAATACATGAAATGAAAAATGTGGAAGTAGTTATACATTGTCTAATTCTTATGGTGCATCCCCCCCGCCTCCGGAATGGCTTACTGATCTTGATAGAAAAACAACCCACAATGTATGTAAGAATCTGAATGCATAAAGCCTCACGTTGGTGCACGTTTGTGGGCTGAAGTTAGCGTCAAGTAAATGAACCTCAAGTTCAAGTGGCAAATCAAGTTGGAATTGGATTGCTTTAAAAAACCTACTTGATTTTTTAAAATACTATGTCATAGGCATCTGCTCAGTTTTTTTTTGAAGTGCTGTTAGGCGTTGAGACATTTAAGCACCAGTAATAAAAAAGACGACTATACCCATGGCTGGATTTTATAATTCCCTCTTTACCAATGCCTTGAGCTTCCTCTCTGACCTGCATTAGTTATGTGTAACTGGACCAACATCTTTTGGGAGGAAAGTGACAAAAGAAAGTTTCTCATTTACTTGGCCATCAGTTTTTAATAGCTTGTATTCTTAATGGCAGTGGAAGTTCCAAGTTCATAATCTGGTAACCTAATGGATTTCATGTTGTCACATGGGACTTCTGGCTACAAATGGAACTGTGTTGGAAAGATAGTGAATTGTTCAGCCAAAATGTAACATGTATAGTGCTGTGTTGAGCTCTCAGTGCCCTTGGGAGGAAGAGTTCGTTGAAGACATGGAAACTAGATACTGAATTTCTTTTGACGAGGCAGGGAAAAAAAGAAATTTTGATAGATTTGGAGGTGTTTGTAAATTTCATGCAGTGGTTATAGAGAGGTACCAAACTATTTTTTAAAATTATGTACAAGTTCAAATCTAAGACATGATCAAGTAGCAATATTTAATTTCATGTATTGTTCTGCTGCAACAGAGGTTACAGTGCTGTTTTGGTAGCAAGGTTGCAAGTTCTTGTGTATGCACTTGCTTATGAAACGTGAGTAACTTTTCTGTCCCATCTCATTTGCCCTGCAATCACCCCACAACCTCCAAGCACCATCCCTGGCCAGGCCCAGGTTGTGATAGAAATAAATCCAGATGCTTGGATTTTTATTCTTTTATAGAAATGGAAATTAGTGAATGAATTTTGACCTAAAAGCGTTAATAAATCCTCATGAGCTTTCTTGATAAATTGTACCTGTGTATCTATGTATGTATTTCAGACATCTTATTAATAAAAAGAAACTGAACAACAAGTTGACTGTGGATTTTCTGGCAGAATTCCTCATCCAGAATGCCATATTAGAATGTGAATACTTTGGAAAAATGATTACATTTCCTATACTTAGTTCTTGATCTCATCATAGTCTCTTTTCTGTGCTACATGATTCCATATGAACTCTTTCCCCATGGCCTTGCAAGTATTTGTTTTCCAAGTATTTATCCAGACCCCTTTTGAAAGTTACGATGGAATCTGCTTCCACCACTTCCTTATTGGGAAGGTCATTCCAGATCATAACTTGTAGAAAATGTCTTCTTCCACCCCACATCTCTCAGTTCTTCTCCTGATTCCCTTAAATCTGTTTTTCTGGAGCAATTTTTAGGAGTGAGTTATTGAGCCTTCCCTTTTTTTCAGGTTGTCAAGTTGTTTTCTTAATGATTTTATTTGTTGAGCTAGTAATGTCAGTCTCCAAATTAGAACCTGATGCTAGTTTTCCTAATGAAGGAGTTGTTTCCTATTTTAGATATCAAAAAAAAGCCAAACAACAGGCATTTATGTTATACGTCTTCATAATTCTTCACATGAATTGCTGTGTGTAAGTGAATACAACAACTCTTATTTGTTCTCTGTAAGGTTCGACAAATTACAAATGAGAGGAGCAACGAGAAACTCAACCTAACCTTAAAACACCTTCAGCAACTTTGAGAGAGTTATAAAATTAATAAAAATTTTGAATGAGCCAAGAAAGTTCTGTGCTCTGAGAACCGGTAGTTTTAGTGACTGTTCAATAAGGACTCAATATTGACTTGAAATGAACATGGAACCATACAGTACAGAAGAGGCCTTTTGGCCCACCGAGTCTGCATCAAGAAAAAGTGGGGTCCTATTCTCAATGACCAACATTTGATTCCCAATTTGACAATGTTTATTTTAAATATAAACAAAAAATAGGACCAGGAGGTGGTCATTTGGCCCACTTGAGCCTGATTTGACCATTCAATATCGTCATGGCTGACTATTCAATTCGGTACTTGCTTTCTCCATTTACCCCTAAGAACTACTGTTAGAAAACATTCAATGTTTTGGCCTCCACCGCTTTCTGTGGCAGAGAATTCCACAGGCTCACCTCTGGGTGAAGAGATTTATCTTCATCACAGTCCTAAATGGCCTACCCATTCTTTAAATTGTGACCCCTGGTTCTGGACTTTGCAGTTATCAGGAGCATCCTATTTTTTTCATTCATTCACAGTATGAGGGTGACACTGGCTAAGTCAACATTTACTGCCCAGAGGGTCAATCCCATTGCTGTGAATCTGGAATCACATGTAGACCAGACAAGGAAAGGATAGCAGTTTCCTTCCCAAAACAACACTGGGGAACCAGATTTTTTTTTTTCTTTCACTCGCTCTGACAATCGACGATGGATTTATGGTCATCATTAGACACTTAATTCCAGAGTCTTATTGAATGCAAATTCCACCCATTTTCTGTGGCAGGATTTGAATCTGGGTGCCTGAAACATTACCTGGATCTCTGGATTAGCAGCCCAGTGATAATACCATTAGCCTGTTGCCTTCTCTCTTTCCTGCATTTACTGTGTGCAATCCTATGGAAGTTTATAGGTTGGAAATTCCACCCCCACCCCAATTCTTCTAAACACCAGTCAACATAGTCTTAACCGAACCAGTGTCTCTTCATATGTGAGTCCTGATTATAGTCCAGCAGGTTTATTTGAAATTGCAAGCTTTTGGAGTGTAGTCCCTTTGTCGGGATTTCACCTGACAAAGGGGCTGTGCTCTGAAAGCTTGACTTCAAATAAACCTGTTGGACTATAACCAGGTGTCGTGTGACTTCTGACTTTGTCCACCCCAGTTCAACACTGGTGCTTCCACATCATACATGAGGACTGTCATCCCAGGATTTAGTGTGGTAAACCTTTGTTGTACTCCCTCAATAACCAGAATATCCTTCCTCATTAGGAGACCAAAATTACACAATACCACAGGTGTGGTCTCACCAAGGCTCTATACAATTGCAACAAAACATCCCTGCTTTGTACTCCAATCCTCTTGCTATGAACACCTACATACTATTTGCCTTCACTGCTGTTGCACCTGAAAAGTTGCTTTCAGCAACTGGTGTACAGGGACACCAGGGCCTCATTGCACATTCCCTTTTCCCAATCTATCACCATTTAGATAATCTGCTTTCCAATCCAAAGTGGATAACCTCTCATTTATCCATAACCTACTTCATCTGTGTACTCACTCAACAAAATCACACTGAAGCATCTCTGTATCCTGCTTGCAGATCACCCTCCTACCCAACTTTGTGTTGTCTGCAACTGGAGGTAATACATTTAGGTCCTTTATATAATCATTTACTTTCTAAATAGCTGGTGTACCCATTGGAAATTGTGTCGCTGTGGTACTGTTACTAATTTGTCCAATGTATGTGCAGATCAAAGTTGCCCATAATTAGAGGTGTATATTTTATTGTTTGCATCTTTAATCTCCTGTTTAATGCCTTCCCCAACATTACCACTACAGTTTGGGTATCTTTATACAACCCCCACTTTAGTTTTCTATCCCTTGATGTTTTTAAGCTGTATCCATACAGATTCCCCTTCACCAGAGCTAATATCCTTCGTTACTATTGCATCAACGACCTCTTTAACCAGCAATGTTACCCTCTTGCTTTTTCCTCTGTCCTTCCCAAAAACTGAATACCCCTGGATTTTCAGTTCCCATTCCTGATTGCCTTGCAGCTATCATCCATTTGTATCTATATTTTCGTGACTCATTGCACCATTTTATTGCGAATACTCCAAACATTATGACACAAGGCCTTACGTTGTATCACTTAACATTTTTAGTCCAGTTCACATTATTCTGCACTATGCCTAAATTCTCTGCCTATCTCTTTTGTGTCCAATTCTATTATTTCTTTTTGCCCTTGTTAATGTCTCCCTGTAAACGCTCCCATTCCCCTGTCATTTTAGTTTAGCCCCTCTCTAACTGCACTACTGACAATATCCAACACTATTTGAACATTAGCAATCACATTCTGCTATGAAAATTCCATCATTGTCCCTTTATATTTGCAACCTATTTCAGTCCTACAGTTTTAGATTTCTGTGCTTCCAGTTAAGATTTTTTGTTTTGTGTACATCTTGTCAGTCTTCATTAGTAGCTGTGTCTTTAGGTATCTTGATCTTCATCACTGGAATTATTGCTAAATCTCTCTTCCTCTGATGTTTGCCGTAAAACCTACCTATTTGACCATGTCTTTTGTCTTGATATCTTGTGTTGCTGTTGAATCTTGACTGATATTACCCCTGTAAAGCATCTTGAATTTGACTTGAATGCTGGGGCTGCATGAGCAGTTCAGAGCCTGAGAAAGCTGTCATAAGTCCCAAAACCGTTCTGCCATTTCAAAAGATTTGTAATTCCCATAAAACCTGCAGCCTGGTACCTGGCCACTTGTTCAGTGTTCTATCCAGCAATTTGTTTCCTGCTTCGTCATAGGGTCATACAGCATGGAAACAGATCCTTTGTCTAATCAATCCGTACCGACCATAATCCCAAATTAAACTAGTCCCACCTGCCTGCTCCTTTCCTATTCATAGATCCATCCAAATGTGTGCAGTATGCGTCATCTACTAGAGGTGTGGAATTAGGCCATTCAGCCCATAGAGTCCACACTGACCCTCCTAAGAGCATTCCACCCACACCCGCACCCCCTATCCTACAACCCTGCGTTTCCCATGGTCAATCCACCTAACCTGCAATCTTTGAACTGTGGGAGGAAACTGGAGCACCTGGAGGAAACTCATGCAGACGGGGGCGAATGTGCAAACTCCATTGACTGCAATTTATAAAGTATCTGATAGTACCTTCTAAGCCCACAGCCTGGAAGAATAAGGGCAAAAAGTGCATGGAAACACCATCTGCAAGTTTCCCTCCCAAATTTCATAATCTGATTTAGAAATACATCTCCGTTCTTTCTCTTGCTGGGTCTATAATTGCCTCCTGTATAGTAGAATGGATGTACTTGTAGTCTATGGCCTGTAATGGTTGCAGAAGGATCAAGGTTGATCTTCCCGAGGCCAATTAGGGATTGACACATAGCAGAAATAAAGGTGTTAAAAAAGATGTCAATAAGGCACTTAAAATCACCAGAGCAAAAGTATTGGAAAAATTCTAGGGTCTAAAATCCAAAAAATTCTTGGGATCTAATGTCCTGTATTACAGGACTCCGTTAATGCTGCAAAGATGCTGGATATCGTAGCTGTAATTTTCCAAACATCCTCAGAACTGTTCCCAATCTTACAATTTCTATTGTGTAAATGTAGCATCACTTTTCAAGAATGGAAGGGCGGTGGAAGAAAGGAACTACAAATCATTGAACCTAATGTCAGCCATTGGGAAAATGGTGCAATCTATTTTTAAGGAAGTCTGAATGATGTACCTAGAAAAGTTTAGTATAATTGGGACAAGTCGAGTTGGCTTCATTAGTCCATGAGATATAGGAGCAAAGTTAGCCCATTCAGCCCATCACGCCTGCTCTGCCATTCACTTGTGGCTGATATTTTTCAACCACGTTGTTCTGCCTTCTTCCTTAACATTTGATCACCTCACTAATCAAGAACCTATCAATTTCTGGCCTAAATACACTCGATGACCTAGTCTCCACAGCCCTATGTGGCAATAAATTCCTCCGTTTCACCACCCTCTGGCTGAAGAAATTCCTCCTTATCTCTGTTCTAAAGGGGTGTCCGTTCACTTTGAGGCTATACATTCATGACCTAGTCTCTCCTACTAATGGAAACATCATCTCCATTTCCACTTGATCAATGCCTCTCACTATTCTATAAGTTTCAATTAGATCCCCTGTCATCCTTTTAAACGCCATTGAACACAAACCCAGAGTCCTCAGCTGCTCCTTTAACAAGCCTTCATCTTTGGGATAATTCTTATAAATCTCTGGACCCCTTCTAATGCCAGCACTTCCTTCCTTAGGTACAGGGCTCAA